CACCTTGAAGTTGTGCGCTTGTTGCTGCGAGCTGGAGCTGACAAAGATGCAGCAGTAGAAGATGGCTCAACGGCTTTGCCCCTGTCTCGGTTCTCAATGCGTTGCGAGCCCAGTGGCGTTCTCACTATAAGTTTCTCTCCTTCGACGGCGCGGTGCACCCGTGTCCTGTGAGGAACGCGACTGGAATTCCGCAGGGCGATCCGTTTAGTCCATTGGCTTTAGCATGTTTTTTGGCCGCCCCTTTCGCAAAATTGTGCGATCAAGTTCCCGGCTCACATTATTTGTATGCCGACGATCGGACTTCCTTGGTGCACAGGCAGCATGTGCAAGGCGTTCTTGACTCCTGGCTTGAACTTGAAAGCGTCTCACGCATGCGAGGCAATGCTGCTAAGACGCAAGTTTGGTCACTAAACGACCCAAATGAGTCTGGTGTTGTTTTGGGTTCAGTCTTGTGTGGTGGCGATGCGATGCATGAAAAGGAATTGGAGCGTATTGAGGCAGTCAACAAACTTGCTTCTCGCATCAGTTTGCTGCCGTCTTCCATTGCTGTTCGCGCCGATGTGGCGGCTTCAATGATGTCCAATAAAGCGGTTTGGAACCAGCTCATCACTGGTCGCATGACGCATGAGCCGTCAGCTTGGCGTGTGTTGTTTCGGAAAGCTTGCATGGGTGGCCAACATGGTCGCGCTTCTCGGAATCTTGAACTCCTGGCTCGTTGGGGGCACCGTGGCGATCTCTCGTTCCTTGCCACTCATAGGGTATTAGCAACCTTGTGCTCCTGGTGGGAGCGTTTTGGGATTGAGGTGATGTTTCCTCTCCCTGATTTGAGAATTTTGCGTAAAGTCAATGTTGAGATGAGACGTTGGTGCTGGACTCCTCGCCAGTGGGGCGTGTGGGAGCACGCGTCCGGGGTTCGTTTGGGCATCCGGTCTCAACCGGCCCAATTTGGGAAAATGCTTCACCATTTCCGCGAGTCTTGGCGGTCTTGGCAGTTTAACTGTTGGTTGCAAAATCGACAACGACGTGATTCTGCTATTGGCCGTGAGCTGAATTTGCAGTACTCCGAGCATATAGGGTCATTGCTCAAAGGGCTTGTCAAACGGGTGTCCGGGGAGGCGGCGGTTTAGTGGGGGGCATGTCCACTCCTGCTACTGTCCATGCTGCTGTCCGTCCTCAGCATTGTCCGTGTTGTCATGAGCCCGTGGTCCCTTCCATCGATCATGTGCTGTGGGTCTGCCGGCTCTTCGCTGCGCTGCGGGTGCTACCGCGTCCGGTTTCCGACTTTGCTGCACGTTTAGGGTGGGGGGCCCTGGGATGACTCTCGACTCTTGTTTGGACCTTCTTCAACAAATGGGAAACATCCGACACGAAGAGCACACGTTACGGCGTAGAACCCTGCAGGCAGCTTGTACTCTCCCTGAGGACTCTGCCTAGCGAGTGGCTTTGCGTGTCCTTAACCCGCGACAGGTTGGGACACTCGCAGCGCTACCCCCCCTACTGCAGCTCAGAAAGGCAACTTGGGAGTTGCGCAGTTGCTGCTGGAAGCTCGAGCTGACAAAGACAGAGGGAGAAAAGATGGGACTCCAGCTTTGTATGGTGCAGCTCAGAATCGACACTTGGAAGCTTTTCACTTCTTGCTCCAAGCCGGTGCTCCAGCAAGTAGGGCATCGGCTTTGTTGGAGGGATCTGCCTCCGAGATGTGAGCCACTCAGTATCAGTGATGTGCGCGCCTGAGGCGCAGAGAAATAGGTCTCCAGGTCGAAAGGCGTCCCAGCTTTTTGGGAGTGACACGCCTGGTGACGTTGCGCATCTTGTGTCTTCGTTTGTGGACGCGTCGATCTCTTTGTTTGTTTTGGCTTCTCAAACCCCGCAGTGGCCCCCACAAATTTTCAACGTTGTTGGGTACGTTCGAGGCTTTCCGCACCACCAACGTTTGGGTTCTTCCGCGTTGCGGACACCCGATAAGGGCTCCGTTTCCGACTGCCGCCCATTCGGACTGTTCAGGTGTGTGGGATTCTGTCGGCCTCCAAGGTTTGAGAGATGCACATCATGAGCTTCAATGGCTCAAGAAGTGAAGAATCTGTTGGGAGGGTTTTTTGGGATGCGGAGCCGGAGATGAGCCTTGCACCAGCCTGCGGAGCCTTGTACCAGCGATTCATCCAGAAGTTTCTACTCATCGTGCTCATTTGGGAGAGTTGCAACTTACTATACAAGGTTCGGGGAGGGAAGACCCCTTTGTCGGCCCTTCCACCAGGCAAAAATCTTTGCTCCTCTTTCCGACGTGACGTCCTTCGTCTGGTCTTTAGTAGGGGTGATGACAGCCTCGCTCGGCCAGGATTCAAGCCGACATCAACACGGCACAGGTCGGTCATGGGAGAGAGGAAGGGAGGGAGGGGAGGGAGGGAGGGAGGGGAGGGAGGGTTGCTTCCAGCCGCCGTTTGGGCCATGGAGCCTGCTGCGTCAATTTGAGGGAAGCCGATGGAAGCCGAACGAAGTACACGAACGCTGATTACGAGTGATGGACATGGAGGACCACCTGTTTGTAGGGGTAAAATTGTTTTTCTAGGGGCCATGCCATCCTGTGGAGTGAATGTTAAAAGTTGAAACACCTGTCATCTTTGGCACCCTTAAAGAAGGATTATCTCTTCGGCTGAGTCGGACTCAGCAGTGTTTCTTTATGACCCTCACCGCTTTAATGTGGAACTGTGTTTTGGGAGGTCCTTCTTCATCCAGCTTTGAGAGTCGCGCTGTGAATGTGATCCGCCAAATCCATCAGACCATCACTGTTCCGGTCGAACCGATCATTCTTAAAAAACATAGCCTGTTGTTTCGAATACCAAGGTCGTTTGTTCTTGCTAGCGGAGTAACAGCACGTTGGGCACCCGTTTAGTGAGGCACAGGGATCGTTCCTTCATATGGGCCTCCCAATGCGTTCGTGTGTGAAGCCAAATCTGTCAGCAAACCCGTGCGGCGCCAGAAATTCTCGGACAAGCACTTCGAGCTCTTCCGGCGGATCCACGACTATGGCAACAGCAGGGAAGCCCTGCTGCGCGGAGGAATGGGGGCCAGGCTGGCAAGTTTTCATTGATGGATGATTGAAATGGCCCGCAAAGCAGCCTTGATTCTTTTGCCAGTCTGGGCAAACCGTATACACCTCACAGACCTCCCTTGAATGCAAAGCTGCTAGGGGCTCTCACAAAAGAACCGCCGTGGATTTTGCACTCTCCAAGAATCTACACAGCTTGTACTTGTCGGATCTATATATACTTCATGTTGTTTTTGAGAGTATTGAGACATTGAGATTAGTATCGTCGATGTGTTCAATCAATACCTACTATTTTTGCCGGGAAAGATATGAGAGACGGTCACCGACGTTCGCCTCCGAGGTTGGGATGAAAAGGCTTATGTGGCTGCGGCCACGGCACAGGAGAGAGAATTCACTGACTGAGAAAGAAGAGAAAGATAGATAGATAGAGAGAGAGAGAGAGGGGGACCCATGTGGGGCCCTCCAAACTATATAACATGTAGACTTTTATCTACCGAAACCCTACTTTAGATGGGGAAACTGTATATAGCTTTGAGGATTTTGGGGACCCCTAGACCCCTTACCACGCTGCATGTGGTGGGTTCTTCCACTTGCCCGCACGAAGCCATCTTGAAAGCATCATCGGAGAGGAAAGCAACTTTTTCTATGATAATGAATCTGAAGAGTCTTGCAAGCTGGAGGCCGTGTTTTGCGAATATTTGCAGGGCTTCTTACTCGAATTGCAACACTGATGAGCTCCACCACGTTGACACAAACACCATTTAAAAAACAGCGCCAAAACAATCCGAAATTCGCAATCCTTTGGAAGGCCAAACCACTAACTTGGGTAACCCTTGGTATGCTTAGGCACTGTATAGCCGAAAATAGCCTAACATACCAAGGGCTACCCAACCACTAACCACTCAGCGCCGCACAGGATTTGGCCTCCGAAATGAGCTTGATGCGTGAGTTCCAGGCCGAGCTGGGCCTGACTGGGTGCATTTGCACGCCTTTTTTTCCGATTCGGCTCTTCGTGCCCTTTATTTTTTCTTTCTCATGTACATGTTTGTTTGGGCTTAGGGGTACACTTGCAGCTATAAAGAGAGTGGTTTTCAGAAGATCAGTTTCCAAAAACCTCGCGCAGTCGCTTCGTGCGAGGATGCTTCGACTGAACTTTGCCCTCAGCACCACCGAACGCCCTGGTCTGTCGCTGCCGCCCACGCGCCCCTTCAGACCGACCTGGACAAGTACAAGCAGCACCACCATGTGGCCCAGCTCAGTTCCGACCGAGCATCGCGCGAGACCAGAGCTGCAACCTGAACAGGGGGCTGGGGTGCTAGACTTACGCGAAGAAGAGATACAGATACACCTTGAAAGGGACCCGCCAAAATGGGCGCCACTTGAAGAGGTCACATGGATTTTACAGTGTGTGTGAGATTGATAAATCTATGATGTGCAGATATACATATATAACCTATATTGAACACCAACATGGGAGAGGCTGAGGCTGACTTGCAGGCTGCTGTCATATGCACCATCCCTCTCATGCCTTCTCTGAAGCCTGTGAGCAAGTGAAAGGTGTTCCTCGACCATTCTCGGTGCGAAAATGACCGGTTTTGAAAAAGGAGTTCCTCCGACCGATTTTGGGTGGAGTTCCAAACTTTCCTCCAACACTGCTGATGACTCGTGAACTGCCCTCCCCCCACCTGGGAGTCATAATGCACCAATACCACCACAGGGGATAGAATGAGTCAAAGTTGGACCCTCTCATGGCGGACGAGGTCGCCGGCTCCAGATCCTCCAGAAACACCAGAAACTTCAGAGTCGCCCCCAAAGAGCAACTCTTGGCTGAGCACCAAAGCGCTTGGCTGAGCAAGGATCCTTTGGATTTTTGGGGGTGGCAGATTCCATGGGGATCCCAAGAACGACCCCGAAACACTGTGGAAGTGGACAAAACCGTTTAGTCGAGCAAACGAGTCTTCCCATATTTCACCTGTTACAAAGACGTGAGCTGAATTATGGGAAGAGTCGCTTTTCTTTACAAAACCCTTGTTCTATGAATTCCCCGATCTTTTTGGAGGACGGTCTAGCTTCTTGGGATCATGTGATGTGCTATGTGTTCATTGGAGGCCTTTTTCAGTGTTGCTGGAGCTGGGGGCCCCTTTCGAAGCCCATAAAGGACGACATCGGAGATGCGGAATCGATATCAAGCACTATAGGGATTGGGTCTACTTTATTTCCACTTGTGGCCTCTTTATTTCATGGGTTCTGTCCCATCTGTCCGTTTAAATTGGGTCTATGTAAAAGATTTGGGTGGGAGGGGCTGTTTTGAGCACAAACCTATGTAACAAATTCCTTGGTGGTTTTATAAAGTGTGTCTGGGGTGGATGAGCAGGAAACAAACTGATGTAACAGATTGATGTTGTTCATTGATTATGAGGCTTTGAGGAGGCCAACCTCATGAAGTAGGTGTATGGGGGAACCCAAAGTGATGTAACAAATCTGTGCTTTGAAGATCGTTGAAGCACTACGAGCAGTAACTCACCCAAATAAAGCATTGAACATAAAGAATCCAAGGTCAGGTCTGGACCCTGGATGAAAAAGCGTGCAAATCACTTGACTCTAGTCTCTAGATGTTTGCTTGGAGTCTTGGAGTGCTGGGCTAAAATGGTTTATCAATTACCGTGCTCCTTATCTTGTCAGTAAGGATCTACTAAGGACCTTCAAATTTTGAAGTCCGTAATTGCCTGTCAAGAATCTTAGCTTCACTTCAAACAGGCACGAATCTTGTCCTTTGTCTCCCGGTTTCAGACTTTTTAAAGGTCTAAGTACTTCTAACTTCTGTGTCTAAGATTCAAGGCAACCTGGACCTGTAGTAGTTGGAACTGTTTTTTCAAAGGACACGTTGCAAGATCCAATCCTACTTCGTGAGTGCAGGCCGGGAGAAGCAGCCATTTTAGAAGGCAGTTGTACTTTTGGACCGTGGACTTGTACAAAGCAAACAGAAGTTAACCCACAAAGGCCATGGTCATATCATATCCTAGTCTAAGACTATGAGGCTAGGGCTAGGAGGCTATGAGGCATAGTCAGTGCACTGGCACTAACCTTATATTACAACATAAAATTTACAGTTAGTTATACAGTAGAATTATACATTTGTTTGCTCGTTCTTTTGCGCTCCCATTCACCAGAGTGTAGTGCAAGCCATGCCTGCGGCCTTCAAGAGAAAATTCTCCACAATCTTTGGCACTAGCAGTAGCAGTTCGGATGAGCCCTGGTCGCAAAACAACAGGCTTACAAGGCTTACAGTTGGAAAATGTTGAAAGGTTGCGCCGAAACGGTCGAGTCAAATGTGTTGCCACGCCGGCAATAGCCATGATCACTGCTCAGTATTGACAGCGGGGGCAGGCCCTTTTAAAGCCCCATACATTGAACAAGTATATACTAAGTATTAGTAGTGGTGCTGGTTCAGGGGTTCTAGATGTACAAGTCGTTTCATCAGCGTGGCTTTTGGCCATAAGCTGAGCTACAGCTCAGGATGCAAACGAGCCGTCCAGCAGTGGTGGGGCAAGTTCTTGCAGCTATGATTCTGATGCCGATTCCGTTTCAAGTTTGAGAAGTCACGGGATACTGGACACTCAGCAGTAAATGATAAATGACCGGACTTGACAAATATATATATATATATAATTATATAATATATAACAATTCTGTCAGTGTTCCATCAGGAGCAGCAGTCACTGCCACCGTGTTCGGTTCACTTCGTTCGTCCAATGCTCTACAACCAAGGGTGGCCGGCGCAACTTGCCAGAAGGAAACCTCACGCTTTTGCCAAAGCAGTGGTGCCCCTTGCAGCCCGGCACAACTGCCATAGCCCAGAGTGAATCGTGAAACAAATTTTGAATCTTCAGCGAGCCAGTGATTTACAGATTCCTTCCTGGGGTACATGTTGCCGGCGTTGTCTGTTCCAGAAAAACTCGGCCCAGGTACTTCAAAGCAGCTGGCGTGAAACCTGAAGACTTTGCTGGAAAGACGACCCTCGGACAGAATCAGCGTCAAAAACTGAAGCATTTTTTTTTGGCGGCTGTCAATGACTTTGTGACCTTTCATCCAATTTGTCAAACAGGGACGGGGAGACTGTTAGTTATCTTCAACCTTAACCTCAGGATCAATGTGTGTGGAGCTTGCGAAGGCACAGGAATTTTGGCTTATGTGATGCGCCTCGGACAAATGTAGCAAGCGTGAGCTACTAGCCAATAAATAGCCACAAACAAGCCATTGCGTCATAGCGTGGAAAGGCTTGGGGCTTGGGGTGTTTGATTTCCGAATGGCCAGCGTATCAGCAACTTGCCCAATGATGTACTCGTTCCTTTGAGTTCATTCAGTTCCTTGGTCCTTGGTATTTTGGTATTTTTTGTTTACTGTGCCTTCAAGAATCGGCTCCTCAGGAAATATGTGACACAATACACTGGCACACACCTCAATGTGAACGTTGTGCACAGCTCTGAAACCCAGAAGAAAGCTCGTGATTGGTGCCTTCGCCACTTCGACTGTGTCTCTGATGCAAAACAATCCAAATCCGAACTTAGAAGTCACAGACTATTGGCAAGAACAAGCTAGGGCACGGAGCAAACATGGGCTAGAGCTAGGGTTGCTGTTTTTCCCCGCGCTTTTGACTTTCCCCCATAGAACTAGAACCTTGGTTCTGCATTTGCCAGGAATTGTGTGTGTCACTCACTTGCTTTGAAGATGGTAGGCAGCATGCGTGCAGTGTGCATGGTTCAATTTTGATCAATCAGTCTTGCCATGTGTGCTTTATCGCGACCATTAAGTATCTTCCCGTTTCCCAATTACTTCTAACTTCTAACTTCTAACTTGCTGCTAGTTCTTAAATTTGATTCTTGATTCTTTCTTACTTCAGTATCGTCTCGTCTCGACTAGAGCGCCTTCAACAAATGCCAAGGGTCCCATTGTTGGTGGACGCAGGATGCAGCAATGCAACGTTCAGAACATTCAGCATTCACTCATGATTCATGACTCATAATTGAGGTGGGCAACAACCTTTTGTGTCTATCAGCTAGCAGGGTTGCGCAACTTCCCACTGCCGCTGCCTATTGTAGCCAAGGGCTCCATTTCTACAGTAACGTGGAGGACGAGACACAGGACAGCGTGCACTGCTACAAATGTGGCTGCGAGCACAGCCCACATGCCGAGCCTTGTCCAGGGGCTGCCAGCGCATGATTGTCAGTGAATTCTAAATTCTAAATTTTATTTCTCATGATCAAGGGTCATTGGCAGTGTAATTGGGTTCATCTCTTTTTGTGCAAGCAGGACGGGTTCGAGTCTTGCCAGTACGGTTTGACGGTTTGACAGTTGTTTGACTGTTTGCGGTGTGCGTGCAACTCATACAGCCGTGCAGCATGAACTAAACCAACCATGCCATTAAACGGGTGAGACTGACACAGTCCTCGTCACCAACATTTACAAATAGGTTAGGGTTTCCAGTGTTGTAGTCTAAGTCTGGTTAATTCTTTTGTTCCAGTTGAGATCCACGTCCACGAGCTTCAATGACTGGGCGTGATGTGTCAAAAAAATCAGGACCCAAACTCATATCATATAGCATATAGCCGTATCCGTACATAATATAGCCTTATAAACTATTATATACAGTAGTCGTATAGCCCGTATTAGCACATCCCTCAGGACTCGGAGGATCCAGACTTGCTGGTCATGGGCGTCCCTTGCCCATTGTTCTCGAGATTGAACCGGAAGACAAAGCAGCAGGACTACAATCCCTTCGAACAGACACTTGGAAGTTGCAGTTGTTGGCATCAGCAATCAGGTTCAGCCATGGCCGGCAATAGGTCACCAGGTCAGCTGCACACATGCCGCATGCCATAACAACTTTGAAAGCTGGAAAGTGGAAGGCTAGAGGCGGGGAGCAACAAGGCCTAGAGGAAGTGGTAGCAGCACTTAGTGGCACTCAACTTAGCAAAAACTGGTTGGTTTGAGTTTTGAGCTTCGAGTTCTAGCTCTTATTTTTTCGAGATGGGCTAGCCCGCAAGACCTGATCATGTGGGATGAAATATCATATCGAATCATATCATATCATCATATCTGAATCATATCCTTCAAGGTCACTTGAGTCACTTGATTTAGGTTGTGCTTTGTTGCCGTTAGCTTGCTGCTTTACTTTCCCATCAGGGTCCGATATAGAGTCCCATCCATCCAGTCCAACATTATTGCTGGAGGTAGTCAAGCGACAG